TGGCATAAATTCTTGTCTGCCCCGGCTACAAAGAAAGCAAATAGGTGCAGGTAACATTTGGAAGACGCTGCAGAGGTTCTGTGCAGAGCAGTCACCCAAGTCTGTCCTGAAGAACCAGCCTCCAAGTTTACAGAGGGCCCTAGGGACACAACCCCTCTGTTCACACGTCTCATTTCAGCTTCTCTGAGGAACTCCTGTCTTTTCTTTATGTGGCCCAGTGTGTATTTCTTCTGCATCGCTTACCTCTTAAGATGTCTCAGGTTTCCTGATGGCAGGTCAGATTGCTGGGGAATCTCTTTAAGGCCCTGCCCTTTGTAGCAGCTCTGCACCAGCTACAGGTTACCATGAATGTGTGGTATAAACCTCGTGGAACACGTTTCTCCCCTGGAATGAAGTCCACGTGTCAGTGGTGAAGTCAGTCTGTCTGTCTGCAGTCCTTTTAGTGATGACAGATGGCACAGTAGGGGGAGGCAGAGGTGTCAAGATGTGCCTTATTGAAACAGCCCTTTTTCCATGATTATTAGGCCTTGCAGACCTGCCCTTTGGCACGGCATCAGAGGAGAGCTCTGCACAGATGCCCATGAATGTTGCCTTCCCAGTTATTTTGTGCCCACTGGCCAGTCTGGCACATTCAAAGCTTGATGCACACGGGGATTGTCATCAGTTTGCATTCCTCTCTGCGTTCCGCATGGAAAGAGGATCTGGTCAGCAAAGGGATGATTAAAATATTGCTCTTGGTCATTTACATTACAGCATTCATCACCGTTTTCCTCTGTGACATATATATGGCCTGTTGCTGTGTGCTTCAGTCCCTAGCTGTGAGCGTGGAATCATTAAGGTTGGAAAAGACCAGCAAGATCATCAAGTCCAGCTGTTGACTCATCACCACCATGTCCCTTATTGCCACATCCTCACAGCTCTGGGACACCTCCAGGGATGGTGACTCCCTTCCCTGGCCAACTGTGCAAACCTCGCCACTCTTTTCAAGAAGAAATTGTTCCTAATAGCCAACCTTAACAGCTCTGCTAACTGAACCTGCCAGCCACACCAGCTCACTAGATTTTGGAGTTAGGATTTTTTGGTGTAATGACCCTCTGGGGGTCCCTGATCTACTTTATGGAAGAATAAGATGTAGCTGTACCACAGCGCATTAGTTCCCATAGCATTGCCTTTGCATGAGATGACTGTCCCATCTGTCTTCCCTGTCTCTGTGCAAGGCACGTGGCTCTGGAGCAGCAAATGGTGATTTTGATCAAGATAAGGCAGTGCTGATAGAGAGCTCTCTGATTTGAATCCCGATGTTGAGGGCAGTGCACGAGCTGTGCAGGTTAAAGCATCTGCTAGCCTGCCAGAGTTGGGCTTTTGCCCAGGCTGCCTGTCATGTAAGAAGGCTGCCTTGCTTTGGTTTCTTTTCAGTATGTGAAACCTGAGGTGGTTTCCTAGAAGGAAAGACTGTTCCATCTGTTTTATTCAGGAGGAGCTTCGTGAGACAGCAGCTAGCATGACTATTCAATGACTTCTGCATGAGAAAGTGTTGCAGCTCTTGTTCAGGGCTCCAGAAGAGTGAGGGAACACAGGGTGTGAGAACCTCAGTGTCTGGTGTGGGCAGGTGCATTTGGAGTTCTACTGAAGGGCAGATGTAATGAGTGCATGAAGAAACAAGACGTGAGTTTTGGGAAGGGGAGCCAGCAGGCACGTGGATGTGGCCCTTGGGTTGCTGTCTTTGTCTTGGAAGTTAAAAGGCCTCTGGGAAGTTCCCTTAGTGAGGTGGGGAGGCTGAGGGGAGATGTGCCAGTGGGGATTCTGAGTTGTTTGAAAGTGAGGAAAGGGATGGGGTGAATGGTTTTTGGTGTTGGAGGTGGTGGCCATAGGGTTGGGCTTGGCAGAGCTGCCAGGAGTGTTCAGAAATGACTTGGAAGAAGTGATGGAGCAGTTTGTGAAGGACACCGAGTTGCTATGGGCAGCAAGGTGAAAGATGCTGTAGAGGAGCCACGAGAGATGGCCCTGCAGGGTGGGCACAGTGACAGAGCAGCATCGTCCCTTCACAGGCAGGAGTGATGATGCAGTTAGGACTCAGCGTGAGCCTTTAGGTCACACAATAAAAAGGCTGCACAAAAAAAAAAAAAGGCTTCATGGAAACATCAGTGGTAGAAAGGATAATAAAGGGGAAAATGCTAGGATTAACTCACAGGGGACGGTACAGAAAACAACTGCAACCCACCTCCCTTGCGTGTGATGCACCTGCATCTCTGTTCTGGAAAGCAACACTGTAAATCTGGGAAAGGTCCAGATGATGATGGTTAGAAGTGCAGGGAATAGCTATAAAGACAAGGACTCGCTAGCCTGGAAATGGATAATTATGAAGGATTTTGTAGAAGCCTATACAATAATGTGTATTCTGGAGATGAATACATGGTTTGCCATCTTCTCCAGTGCAAGAACTGCAAGGTACCAGATCCAAACAGGAGGAGGCTGGATTCACACAGCTTGCAGTCATGCTGTGAAACTCCTCCCTGTGCTCTTCTGTGGATATTGTGAGTATTTATGCATGCTTGTAGGAGGACTGGAGAATTCCATAGAAAGAAAATCCTTCGAGGAGCACCAACTGAACGGAGTCTCCATCTGGCTCTGTGTGTCTGTGCTGCACACAGCTGGGAGGCGTTCAGTAAGAGCATGATACTTCATGTCCTGTGTTGTGCTGTCTCACAGGCAACCACACGTTGAACAGGATCCCAACTGAACAGGATCCTGGTTGACCCAATGTCCTGAATGTGCAGATAAAATCTCATCTCTGCCTTCTGGGTCACAACAGTAACTTCTGGAAATGCTTCAGTAAGGGTAGTACAAGGTTAGACTGCCAAGAGGATCTGCAGAGTTAAGTGTGGTGAAGTCATCTGGGAAGCCTCATTCAGCCCTTTTTGAAGTGTTAGCGCTGTAAAGGAAGATGCTGTCGAGTGAGAGGAACTCAAGAATTGCTTGTAATGCCATGGACTTTTTACTAGGTGGCAGTAGTAAATTGTAAGTGATGCAGAAAAGTCCGAGTTCTCAGCAAATACTGCTGGAGTGAAGGCAGAGGATGCATTGAAAACATGCATGTGGTGAGTTATTCCCCATCTGCTGGTAAGCAGAGAGAATGCCAGACATCTGAAGGTGCTGTTTGGATCAGTGGGGCCCAAATAGCTTGACCTACAAGTATTGGAAGTGCTGATGGTTATTTTAAATTAGAATGGCAGGGAGCTCCAGAATTCCAGCCAGTGCTGGAATGACCTGCACACCATTATCCTGATGGTGAGTCTGGACAGTACTTTAGAAATGCTGATACGTTATTTGGTTAATAAATAACTCAGGGTCAGGCACGTAATTAGTGCCACACATCTGTGTTTATAATGAGTGGAATCATAGAATCATAGAATCACAGAATTGCTTAGATTGGGAAAGACCTTAAAGATCATCGAGTCCAACCATGACCAAACCAAGCTACCTTAACTCTAACATCCCTCAGAGAAAACTGACTTGCTAAGGCTGACAGATTTAATGCACGTCTTGTTGTGTTAGGTCCAAATTCAGCACTAGACAACATCTGACTCGAAGAAATTAACCCTGTATATCATTAGCAGCATGCTGAATGGACAAGATTTCCTTAATTGTAGTATTGGTGGTGATGGGTGGGACTCATGGTCTTGAAGGCCTTTTCCAACCTTAATGAGTCTGTGGTTCTATTAGTGACTATCAAACCAGGATGTTTCATGTCAAGCTTTTTTTCCAGGTGCTGATGCAATACATACCAGCAAACTTAGCCTTATCCGGTGCATAGCATGGACATGTGAGCATCTGACTGCTTCATTGCTGCAAAGTCGTGTGCAGGATTAGAAGTTTGTGTTTAGATTGTATGATGAAGTGGCTTAGGAGATAAACTGAGCAGAGTTACCAGCTGACATTCACAAACCGTTTCATTGAGAGATCATGAATTTACATGCAATTAACAGCTCTGTGCTCAAGGAGACTCAAGTAGTGAATCAACAACAGAGAAAATGTAAGAGAGAGCGGAAAGGAGCTGTGTTAATATTTGAATGAGATTTTTACTGGAAGGAGTCAGCAGGGGGATTTTGGCAGTTAACTCTAGAGCCTGTATAACTCCCTGCTTTGTTTTCGGCAGCCTTGTTTGGCTGGTTTTGAGCTTACTGAGGGTGCTGCTGTCCTTGTCCTTTAGGAGGACATTACACAGGACTGGTGCTGGTGTCACAGCTTGCTTGGAGCCACTCCTGGGAGCTGGGATGTCTTTCTATCCCTGTGTGTGTTTGGGACTTAATGGGGAATCATTCACCATTTCTAGGCTGTGGTTTGCTAGGTTTGCTCTGTCACAGAGTTTCATTCCCAGACTTTGCCCTGAAGTCCGTGTTTCAGTCTTGCTCCATTCCATGACTTTCCTCTTGGCATTACCGAACTGTGGTGCAATGAATTGGAAGCTCTGGACATCCACTGAATAATTCACATTTTTCCTGAGAAGCCATGAGTGTGTGGAGTCCTCTGATGATGCCCTATCCCAGGAGATGCCCAAGCCCATGGATGGAGCCCTGGGCATCCTGGTCTGGTGGGGGACAACCAGCTCATGGCAGGGGTTGGAACTGGATGGACTTTGAGGTCCCTTCTGACCCAACCATTCTGTGATTCAGTTACTCTGTGATTCCAGCCCGGAGTTGTTTCATTTCTTCTGTAGTCCATTTGCCAAATGCTGCTCCACATTTGACAGGTTCTGTGGTCCCCTGTTGCCTTCTCTCTTGTAGGTTGTGTAAGGTCAGGAGATGGTCAGAGCTCCTTGTGCTTCTGCTTCAGTTTGGCACAGTCTGTGTCAATCCATGTCAATTTAAAACACGGTAGTCATCAGTTATACTGGGCACTTCTAAATGTGATAAAATTGTGTCCTGGAAGCTGTAGTTGCCATGTTGTTCTTCACTGTTGACATGCACTCATTGTTGACACATTCTTTTGTCTTTCTTCAGGATGGGATAAGCATTCTTATGGGTACCACGGTGATGATGGGCACTCCTTCTGTTCCTCGGGGACAGGACAACCCTATGGCCCTACGTTCACAACTGGAGATGTCATCGGTTGCTGTGTCAACCTCATCAACAATACCTGCTTCTACACAAAAAATGGCCACAGTTTAGGTGAGTAAAAAAAATTGTTCTCGAGAGGAAGGTGCTCAGCTGCTGTTTACTCTTGATAAGTTTCATGGGCTCTATCTCCTGTTCCACATTTGTGGGTAACTTTCAAGAAACAAGAGAGATAAAGAGCACTCAGCTGCAGTCAGGATTGTAAGTTGGTTTCAAGGCAGCTAAAATGGTCTCTGTGCTGCTTGGTTTGAGTAGGTTAGGATTGTGTCCCCTGACTGTGCTCCTTTCTTCTGCTTCTGCATGGAAGATTGGATAAGGCAGCTAATGGCAGGGCAACAGGGAAATAAAGAAGTGGGAAGCTTAGTATATTATTCAACTAGCTATAAAACCACAGTTACCAGCGTCATCACTTTTTAAAGGGACTTATCCATTCATAAGCATTGGTCCAAGTATTCCCAAACATAGATGTTGATTCAGCATAAGAAATATTGCTGCTTTATTTCACAGTCATTCTACTAGTTCTCCTAAAGCTACGGCCTTAAGGGTTTTGTACAAAGGAATGTCTCACAGGTGTTTTCCAGGCATCTATTGTATCTGATTTGTCTAAAATAAAAAGTTGTATCCATTTTCACCTAAAATATCTTTCCCTTGGAGGACATATTCTCCAACGTGGATAAGTTCTGGTCAATTTTTCTATAAGCCATGCAGTAAATAGGGGGCAAGCACTCCTTTTCCTTTGCTTCTCCTTGCTCTGTCAGCTGTACTTCGTTGAATCACAGTGAAGAAGCTGGTAGAAAAATACCCAGTTAAAAGAGTTGTCAGAGCAGTTATCAGACTGCCTGGGCTGAAGGAAGGAGCAGGTCCAGAGTGCCTGTAATGTGTACAATTTCTGGTGAGTTCTTGGTAAGAAAAATACAGAGGTCCCCATTACATGAGATGGAGCTACAGCAGCAAGCCCAGCGAAGGGCCATGAAGATGCTCGAGGGATTGGGGCAGCTCTGCTATGAGGAAAGGCTGAGAGAGCTGGGAGTGACAAGGATGATGCCAAGAGGACGAAGCCAGGCTCTTGTCAGTGGTGCCCAGGTACAGGACAAGAAGCAGTGGGCACAAACTGGAATACAGGAGGCTCCCTCTGAACATCAGGAAGCACATCTGTGCTGCACAGGTGTCGGAGCTCTGGCACAGGCTGCCCAAAATTGAGTCCCTGTCTTTGGAGATCTTCAGAAGTCACCTGGCTGTGGTCCTGGATGCAGCTCTGAGTGGCCCTGCTGGAGCAGAGGATTGGACCAGATGGCCTCCAGGAGTCCCTGCCTGCCTCCAGTCTGTGATGCTGCAAAGGTAGCAGGCTATGTTGTAGCAGCAGAGAGTTGAATCTGCAGTATGGGGCTGCTTCTCCTCTGTCTCAAGAAGAATCTGTTCCATGAGGCAGATTCAGAAGGCCCTAATGCTGATGCAGACAGAACTTCTTTGGAAAAATGGTTTTCAATTTTCCTCTGCTTTCATCCCACTGTCTGTTGATTTTTAGGGGATGGTTGCCTAGAAGTGACGCACGTGGCTTCCCAGAATCTAGACCACATGTTTTGCAACACGTTGAGGTCTGCAGCCCTAAGTGGAAAAAAAGACTTCTCTGGGAACCCTCCTGAAGGGTTGCTCGGATTTTAGGATGTTTCTTTAGGAATGTGATTTTACTTCTTTTCTGGAGTAACTATTTACTGGCCAAACTGTGTGTGATGCTCTGCCACTTCTGGTGAAGACTTCTGGTGAAGACTACCTAGTGAGACCAATCACTAACTTAATTAACTTAATCCATGAGCAGTTCTGTACTGTGAAGATAAGTAGAGGTGTGAGAGCAGCAGCTAACAGCATCAAACAGAAGCTGTGGCATTTTCTAATGGTTGCATTCAGCGAGGAGTGCTGATGTGGTCAGCAGTGATTGAAGTACTGGGGAGTAGCAGGCCATCAGTTGTTGTCCTGACCCCCACAAAAGCTACTGGAACATTTTGCTGCGTGTTTTGCAAAGGTTTGTAAGGAAGGGGATGAATGTGCTTTTTGTTGGCATTCCCTGACGTGAAGTCTTCAGCTGCTGAGGCTGAATCTCTCTCCTTGTAGGGAATGAGGTCACTGCATAATGCTGCAGCAGATAGAATATTCATGAGACTAATGAGCCCCCTTTTGATGACAGTTGACTCGGCAGCAGGTTTCACAGCCCTGCCTTTGGGCATTTTAATTTGTCTCACTTTCATTGAACGCACCATAGCTTTGTCTTTCCTTACACGTAATATTCTCTCTCCATCATATTCTATCTTCATCACGACTCCTTTTTGCCTGTTGTTTTGATACATGCCCCCCTTTGTTTTCCTTGCAGTTTTTTTCCTGTTGCTTAACTGTGATCTCCATACTTTTTCATTTAATCAGATCCATCAGGACCACTGTGTAGGAACTGTTTTCTTGGCCATCACAATGTCTGGATGTTTGTTTGGAGCTAAGTCTCGAACTTTGTTTGGAGTCATCACATGAGAGCTGTTTGACATCGTATGTAGTCTTAAATACCTGTTCTGGAAAATGTCTTCTGTGTCTTCCAGCTGCAATCATTAAGTGCTGTTGACAAATTCTGAGCAGAGTCCTGGCAGTAAAAAAAAAGATGATGTGGTAGGGCTAGGAGTGTGATGAGAGTGAACTGGGAGAAAAAGAGTGAGAAAGCTGGGGCTCTAGCCATTAAGCAGATGGTCTTGGATGTGGGATGTGATTAGGAAATGTGACTGCTGTAGGTTTCTGTGATTAAGTGGACGAGTTTGCTCAGGGACTAATGTGTGAGGGTTTCAAATCCATGACTTAGACAGCAACCCAAGGTAAATGGGCCAGCAAGGCTACGGGAAGAGCATGCAACCCTCTGAAGCACTGGCATGGAAAATTCCTGTCTGAATTTGAGTGCAGGTTCTTAGAAGACCAGGTTACCCATTTTGCCACCAGTTTAGAGATGAACAGGAACACTGGTGCAAATGAAGAAAGCTGTCACGGAGACCTGCAGATATCCTTCCAGCTTTCCCAATTTAACAGGTCTGTTCTCAAACCAGATCTACTAAGAGCAAGAGCACTGAGAAGCTTAGAACAGGACTTGATAGATGAACCACATTTAAAATGAAAGAAAACACCAAATGCAGCTGCAGCCTGCTTTCTCTGTAAGAACAGTTTACCCAGGTAGCTCAACTGGATGGTGACTGTTTCCAGGTCTGCTTTGAGCTACATGGCCATAATAATGCTTCTCCTCAGCAACTTGCAGCAGTATTTCACAGGCCTGTATGTCATAATCCTCAAAGTGCCCATCTTGCTGAATGTGTTGGCACTCATTACAGTCTGCAGCACAGCAGGTGAAGGTGTTGATCACACTGCTCCCCAGCACTGACTCTTCATTGAAGTGAAAGTGATCATCTGCCTTGCTGATCAGGCTGACGCCGTGGACTTACAGAAGAGGCTTTTCACACACTGTTGCTTTGTGACCTGTTGAGCTGTCCAGTTCTTCTATCTTTAAATTTCTGATGTTTGTTATTTCACATTGGATCCAGGCTTTGAGAGAGAGTGCAGTTTCAGATTCAGCTGCCTAGTTAGAACTGTGGCTCTTTCACTTTCTGCTGTTGACTTTGTTGGATGCAGATATGTAGCAGTACAGGTTCAGATATGTTTGTGCAACAGATCTAGATGTTGAAAACATTTTCTTGGTCTTAGTTTCATAATAGAAGGCACTAAACATATAAATGCCTTAATTTAAAGGCAGTGTAATAAACTTATTTACAGAACTGTAGAGCAATTTACCCTGGGAGGGATCTCTGGAGGTCATGCATTCGCAGCCCTGCTGAGAGCTAGGTCAGCTTACTGAGAAACATGTCAAACTTTACTGTCTTCAAGAATGGAGATCCCCAAGGGGGCTTTTCTGGCCCCCTGCTTTATTGTTTAGTTCTTCCATTCTGACCTTTTCCCCTGCCTAGCATCTAACCAGAATTTCCCATGTTGCAGCCTGTCTTTTATTTCCTCCCATCTCCTGTTAGCAAGCAGCTTCAAGAAGAGTCTGGCTCTGTCTTTTCTGTACCCTCCTGTTAGGTAGTTGAAGGCAGCAGTAAGTGTCTCCCTTAATGTTTTAGACCAAACAACCACTTTTCCCTTTGCCTCCCTTCTTGTTGGCCTTTGCTGGACTCAAAGCCAGCAGAAGAGCTCTTCAGCTACTTTTGCCAAGCTCCATGAGGTTTGTGCTGGATCCTTTCTGCAGCCTGAAGAGCAATATGTCCTCTACCATGTTGTCCGTGCTCCTGCTTGGTACCTGTGAGACATCTGAGAGCGTGTACCCTCCCATCATCCAGCTCATTAGTGAAGATGTTAAACTATGTTGACCCTAACGTTGATCCCTGAGGAACAGCACTTGGACTTTGTGCTACTGACCCTTCAGTGCTGACAATCCAGCCAAATTCCCACCCACACTGCAAGGAACTCTTCCAAAGAGGAGATAAGCCTCGTTCTTGTCTAAGGGTTGAAGCAAAGCGTGAAGCCTGTGGTGGGGAGTGTGTGGAAAATGGATTTAGGGCAGAACATGCACAACAGGCAAAGAATAAGTAGACAATAGATGGAACAAATTGCCATGATGTTAATTAAACATTATTGGCTATTTAATCAAAATCCAGTTTGTTTGTTTGTTTTTCTGAGCATCTACTATGAGAGTGGCGAGGTGCTGGAACAGCTGCCCAGAGAGGCTGTGATGCCCCGTCCATCCCTGGAGGTGTTCAAGGCCAGGTTGGATGGGGCCCTGGGCTGCTGTGAAATGTGGTGGTTGGTGGTCCTGCCTGTGGTGGGGAGATTGGAGATTCATAATCCTTGAGGTCCCTTCCAACCCAAACCATTCTGTGATTCATTTGATTTTGGATCTGTGCTGTTTCAGATGGTAATTGTTTCCTGTGTTGTCTCCCAAACTTGGTTTAAATGGCCATTTCAGGCTCATCTGTTAACATTGCCCAGAGAGCTGGGGGTGCCCCATGTCTGGAGGTGCCCCAGGCCACGGATGGGGCTGTGGGCAGCCTGAGCTGGTGGGGAGCAGCCAGCCCATGACAGGGCTTGGGTCTTGGTGGGTGTTGAGGTCTCTTCCAACCCAGCCGTTCCATGATTCTTTGATTCGTTGCAGCTCTTCTTTTACTGGTTGACCACCTGAAATCTCCTGTAGAACAGCCATAACATTAACATCAGAGAATGGTGCCCTCTTGCTTTGACACATGCTATCGTGCTTTTCAGTGCAGCAAAGAAATGGTGACTGAAGTGGGGACGTGGGTTAGAGCAGAAATGGATCCTGCTATGACCAGCTGTGATATCTATCAGGTTTTGCTCTGTTTGTCTTCCCATGTGCCAAAGTGAACAAAAAGGGAAACCATGCAGTTTTTTTCCATTGCTTGTATTTGGAACTGTAACAGCATCGTGGAGGATGAAGCTGTTCTTTGCACAGTATTTCTCAGGTGTTCCAGGCTGTAGTTTGGTCCAGTGGCAAAAATGTTCCCCAGCTGTAATGCAAAGCATTGGGATTCTCATTCCTGTCTCTGACTGACTGGTAAGGAGAAGCAGCTACAGACCGACCCAAAGCAACGTGATAGTGAAGCTCTGTTTCTAAACCCAAAGTGTGCCTGGAAAAGTATCTCCTTCAGAGTAACAGAGGGAGAAGCAAAGAAAAGAAGAGCAACTTTTTGGAAAATTAAATCTTAGGGAGAGATTTATAAAAAGTTTAGGCTTTTCCATGGACCTTCTCCAGAGGAGAGGGTTGGGGAGGGAAGATTCTTCTCAATGTGACAAGTAGTGAAAGTCAGGGTCAGAGGTGGGACTGATTGAGGTGTGGTAACTTTCTGTAGCATGATATGGATGTTGTCAAGCTGGGAAAATATCTTTTGTCTTTTTAATTGTAATATTTTTCCCCCCACAGGTATAGCCTTTACAGACCTCCCTGTAAGTACACCTCTTTTTAGTATTTTGGCTAAGACTGCAAACAGAAGGGAAGGGGAAGATTGTGGGGATGTGAATTTTTTAATTTTTTACTTGCTCTTCTCATGGTCTGTTTAAAAAAAAAAAAAAGAAACAGTAAAACACAGTGCTGAATGGTGTGGATGCTCTCTTTTCTGAAACATCACAATCCCAGGGCTGGGATGTGGGCTGCTCACGTACCTCCTCTGAGCCCTCGCCACCTCAAAGAATATGTCACTCCTTCTCCTGCAATTAAAGCCTGGATTCAGAGTGTGTTGCAGGTCACTGTCTTGCAAAGGCAGCATCCAGTGTGGGGAGTGTATGTGCAAAATCACTGAGTGGTCTTGTGTTCTGCCTTCAGAGAGCACAGAAATGCTCAGTGATGTTATTCTCAGCTTCTCCCTCTCTTACCCAGGGCATCCCTCTGTTCCTGCTGTTCCTCAGTCTCCCATTGATCTCCTGCAATGTCAGGAAACTTCTCCCTCAGTGTGGATTTCAGACATTTCTCTCCGTGATCTAAATAGCTCAGGTGCCAGATTCACCCTAAGGACGTCTGCACCTGACTTCCATTGTCCCACTCTCCTCTCCTTTAATTATTTCCTTCTCTTTTGCACACACCTGTGTATTCCATGGTAGGATATAATTCTGGCCCTTTCTGCTCCCTTGGTCCATTGATTCTTGGTTGCTATTCTACAGAGTTAAGGCTGCTGCCCTCCTGAGGAAGGAGATCCTAAAGCCACGTAAGGCTTTTATATTTACATAGTGCAACTATTGCCAGAGAAGTAGTAAAAAACAGGACGTTGATACAGCTTGCAAGTGATGTCTTTCATTTATTACAACATTTTGATCCAGGCAGGAGCATAAGGTTGGCTGGTTGAGCCCTTTGCTTTTCCACCTCTTGAGCTTCAGTAACATTTAGGGTGATTGTGTTGACGTAGCAGTGAGACTACACAAGAAATGGACATGACCCTTCAAAACATTATCAGTATTGTATCCTCAAAGTGTGTGTTGCAAAGTTCCCCTTTCAGAGACAAGTGAGGAAGACAGCATTTTGCAATATTTGCCATTAGCAGGAACTTGAAATGAGGGCTTGTAATTGAAACTCATGTTTTCTTGGCATCATTCGGACACACACTGAAGCATAATTGTTTCAGCTTGTTCCGTATTTCAGTTCCTTTTGAAGAGTGTTTACATTTGTTCAAGTGTGCACTGGTGGAAAAAAATGCACAGGCTGAAGTTAATACACGAGTAACTGCTTGCAAATAGAAGTGGAGATCCCACAGAGGGAGTTTTCCCTCTATAAATCAGTGCTTACACTTAGCTCTGTTTATTTACACAAGCCCATATCAGGTTAATCCTGCTCGGCAAAGCAGCTGTGTGGTGAGAGTGCAGAGGTGCAAAAAGAAGAATGTGGAATGGCCCAGAGTGGGACTGCAGGGGCACAGAGGGAGGAAAAGGTTGGAAAATCAAGTCGAGATGAACTGGGGATACAAACAGCTGGCAGTCTGAGGGAGAGGTGGTCAAAAGTCTGTGGGAAAGAGGAGAAACTGACTTCAAAAACACCTTTTCCTCTGGCACCATTTATCATGCTGCCTTTTCCTTGCACATCCTTCTAGTGCAGCGACTTCCGTGGTGTGAGAATGTGAAAGCAGGAGATGTGCTGAGCCAGCAGTGATGCAGTCACCCTGATTTCTGATGCTGGTTCTCAGCCTGTGTTTACAGCTTCATTTTTTCATTTGATATTTGAGATTGCAGAAAGGCACAGTGTCAGCCACATCCCCTGACACTGAGGAACCAAGTGTGAAACTCCACATAGAAGAGAGAACTGGGATGAGCTGGTGTCTGGCTTTGTGTAATCCCACAGGAGGGGCTGGGAGGGTCACCTTGTGTCTTTTCCAAAATGAGAAGAGTTTCTTTCAGGTCTTGATAGCCTGTTTGCTGTCAGGGAGTTGCAGTCCTGCCATAGATCCTTGTTATGATTGGGGCTGCTGTGACTCCTTTGTTCCTCCATGACATTGTAATGTTGAGAGTTCATCTGGGCTCATCTGTATGGCTGCTTCTTCACCATCTTGACACCACACCCCGCAAAATAATGGAATCTTAGAAGAATTTAGGCATGAAGGAGCTTCCAGAGATCATTGAACCACAGAATATCCCAAGTTGGAAGCGACCTGTAAGGATCTTCAAGTCCAACTCCTAGTCATCATGCCTAACCCTTGCTCTCTGCAGGGCTGATGTCACAGCTAGAGCAGGTTGTGCAGTACTGCACCCAGTTAACTTTTGAAGACCTCCAAAATAGAGATGTTGTTGTCTCTCTGGAAACTTATTCCAGTCCTTACTCATGCTCAAAAGGAAGAGTGTATTCTGTATGCCCCATCAGAACTTCCCAGAACTTGTGCCCATTGCCTCTGGACTTTTCACCGAGCACCTCTGCAAAGAATGTTTTCATCTTTGTATCACCTCCCTTTTGGGAGTGGAAAACTTTGCAGTTATGTTTACATTTTTACCTTCCTGACACCTGACATAGGCTCAACCATGAGCAAGGCAGCACAACCAGGCACCTTCCAGGCTTGAATTCCACTTTGTGCCACGCTGCATCTCAGTGCCCTGCCCAGTGCCTGGTTTCTGGCCATCACTGTCCTGAATGTGTTAGAGCAAAGTTGTCCGTGAGTGCCATGAGATTTCTTCCTAAGCCTTGCAGTCTGTCAGTAGATGCTCAAGGATTAATGCACCTTTCTTGTGTTGCCAACAGAAAAGCAGTTTGTGCTGCAGAAAATGTAACTGTGAATGGAGCGTGTGCTTAAAAAATGTGATGCAGAGTGAGAACCAGTCAAACCTGTACCTTTTCCAGTGCCATTTCTCTTCATGGTAAAGTGGGCTCAGAGATGCAATTTGTATCCATATAGAAGTCATGGAATCGGTCATTAAGTTTGGAAAAGACCTCCAAGGTCCCCAAGTCCAACCCCAACCCATCCCACCGTGCCCACTGCCAACATCCCTCAGTGCCACATCCCCACAGCTCTGGCACACCTCCAGGGATGGTGACCTCCACCTCCCTGGGCAGCTGTGCCACTGCCTCACTGCTCCTTCTGAGAAGGAATTGTTCCTAATATCCAACCTGGTTATTGTTAAAACAGTCTGAATTCAGAGAACCTCTACATTTCACCACCTTTCACCACCTGTTTTAATTAGATCATCTTCTCTGGAATCTGGATTATTAGGTCACTGTTAGAGGTATTTTCACAATGGCAGCTTTTATATTTTCACCTGTATATAATCACCAACTTCATTGCCCTTCTTTGGTCACCCTCCAAGGCCTTAGTGTCTTAATAAATTATCTGATGATAATTTCTTGTGTGGCTGGCTCTGCTACAGTCCATTCCCTTACCATCAGAGATGTAAAGTACCTTGACAGCTGCTCTTGTCAAGGAATAAGTGAGTTCATTTGAAACAGTGGAAAACACTTAGATTTGCTGTTTGAAGTTGAACTTGTTGTTCTGTTTTTATGCAATAAATTCTAATAACTGCACAGTAAGTCATGAGGTTCCTTGAGATTTACCTGTAAAGGGTCTGTTGCCCCTTCTTCTTCTCCTACATGTTTCATTTTAAAGAGCAGCTCTTTAGTTTACCAAACCATGTATCCAGAACCAGCAAGAAAAAGCTGAGTTTAATGCATGTTTCTTCTTTCCCAGTCAAACCTGTACCCTACGGTGGGCCTCCAGACTCCAGGAGAGATAGTGGATGCCAACTTTGGGCAGCAGCCATTTGTGTTTGACATCGAGGACTACATGAGGGAGTGGAGAGCAAAGATTCAGAGCACCATTAAGCGGTTTCCCATAGGAGACAGGCTAGGCGAGTGGCAAGCCATGCTGCAGAAGTAAGTCACTATTCTTCTTGTGTTCTCTTACATCTCCATTTCTGTTTTCTTACGGCAGAAGCTGCATTTTGCTCTAATCTAACATGTGCTTTGCTTTCTCTTTTGTTGTTTAATAACTTTTCCTGTGTGAATCCTGTTGCTGCTTAAAACCTAAAAGATATTGGAGAAATTTTCAGCCAGTGTCTGCATGAAAGCTTGTAATAATACACATTGAGGTGAAGCATGGGGCGAAGGGCAGTGGAGAGGAAACCATAAATATCCTATCATAGGAGAAAGGTCAGGACATGAGTCAGCTGGATTCAGAATCAAAAGAGCAAGAAATATCCCTAAGCCAAAGGCTTGCAAACCCAACCAAACTGAAAATACAATTATGGCCACTTTCAGGTACATGAAGAACAAGTAAATCATCAGGAGCATAGTCAGCATGGCTTCAAAAGGGGAAGTCATGTTTGACCAACTTTAGAAACTTCTATGACTGCCCTGGTAGATGAGGGATGAGCAGTGGATATTATCTGCTTGGACTTGAGTAGGGCCTTTGACACCATCTCTCATCAGATTCTCACAGACAAGCTGCTGATGTCTTCATGCATGATGGTGGGCAGGCAGGGACGTGGATTGAAAACTGGCTGAGCCCAGAGGGTGATGATCACTGGTGCTGAATCTGGTTGGGGTCCAAAGGCCAATACTGGCTCCAGCCCTGTTTAACATCTTCCTTCCTTAATGTCTAGAATTCACAAGTGGATTCAACTAGCAGTTACCAATAATTGCTGGCCAAATAGTGATAACAGAAAGTCAGGGCCAGAGTGGAAAGAAAGAAAGAATCAGAATGTTGGGGTTCTTCTTAGGTCTTCCTGAAAGCCATGAGCTTCTTTGAGGTTGGGATTTTCTGTCTGTAAAGGAAGAGGGAGCTGTGTCTTGTATGGCCAGGAGACATGAATGGCATTACATGGCTTGAGCTCTTACAAATGACCTTTAGGCAGTTGTAATTACATAAATAAGTACTGTGTATACACTGGAAGTTCTTGTTAGGACCTTGGTTATGAGCTGAGCTGAGTTTGTTCACTGAAATTACGACTTCCACTGATTCTTTTCTGCAGTGGGATTACTTCATAGTGCCAATGCCTCTTCATCCATTTGTGTTTTCTTGTTTTCTAGTATGGTTTCTTCATATTTGGTTCATCATGGGTACTGTTCAACAGCAACTGCCTTCGCCAGGGTCACAGACACTGCAATCCAGGAAGAACAGACCTCAATAAGGAACAGACAAAGTAAGTCTCTTGGGTGGTCACTGCCAGCACATAGCATTCTGACTGTGTTACACTTTTGACTGCAGCATTGCTATCCAGGACAGAGGTAGTGCCACACTGGTGGAGAATAAGTCTCATCACCTAGGACTTGCACTGACCTGAAGTCATTGTGCTTCTGAGATTCCTTTGGATTTGGGTTCTTTATACAAACTTTTGCAGCAAGGCAGTTTTATTATGAGCATGGTTACAGGGACCCAGACATATCAATCTATTTGAACTACAACTCCCAGAGTTAATGAGTCTTTCAGTCCCTTTGTATTCATTTGGGTAAATTCAGTGGTCAGACACGGGAACAGACTTTGTAGAGAGCTGCCTTCTGCCTGCCAGTGTTTGAGAGGCATTAATGCTTTAACTTTTGGTTAGCCCTGAAGTGGGCATGCAGTTGGACTCAGTGATCATTGCAGATCCCTTACAATGGAACTATTCTAAATTTTGTGCAAGCTGTAGATGTCCTGGGTGGAGCTGTAGGTCCTGCTCATTGCAGGGCAGTTTGATTAGATGACCTTTAAAAGTCCCTTCCAGCTCAAATGGTTCTACAGTTCTAAGAAATGTATCTGCTTTGAATACTTCTCTTTCCTCCACAGTGGTTCATCTCTCAGCATTTAACCCCTCCTGACTCCTGTAGAATAAGACTTGCAGTTTTCTCCTGCTGCACTTCTGCTTTTTTAGCCGTTCTATTCATGGACTGAGAGCACAGGGTCACAGAACATTGGTTTGCTTTCTGCATTCTCCCGTTGAATGCAGGCTGCCCTGCCCTATGCATTTCCCTTTCCTTTGTGAACCATTCCTCACGTGGCCATCCCACATCAGGTGCATCATGCCCCTTTGTAATCGTCCCTCCATACATCACATGTGCTGAGCCAGCATTCGGTTGGTTTGGATACTTTGCTCATTACCTAGAATAATAGGAGCTGCTGCCCGTTGCTGCCTTTGTATGGTTAGTGCTGATGGGCTCTGCTTCCCAGGCTGTGCAGCCCTCACCCAGCTGGTGCTCTTGCTGGTTTGGGTCTCCCAGTGTGTGAGACAGCACGGTCTGGTCTTTGTGAGCACAGGTGATAAGGCAACCTGGAGGGAGGGAATACAGAGCTCTGCAGCTGGGGCTTAAATAAAGGTGTGAAGAGAGCACAGATAGGAAAACAAAAAGAGAGGAAGGTAGAAAAGGCAGAGACATCTGTGAAAGTTGCCAAACAAGGCAAAGATGAGAGCTGACAAAAGTAGCAAGATGTGGAAAGGTGTGTGCAAGGAAGTGGAAGGAACAGAACAGGATGAAGGAGACTGCTGCACAGATTGGTGTGAAAAACCATGTCTTTGGTTTCAGCTGTCAGTTATGACAACAAGCAAATAGACACTGAGAAGTGGGAGCCAGGCTGAGTTGTTTCAGATTGTTATTGGGGATTGGTAATGAGGAGTGCTGAGCTGTGCTCTGCATGGATCCAGAGGAGGGCCACTGAGATGATCAGAGGGCTGGAGCAACTCTCCAATGAGGAAAGGTTGAGGGAACTGGGCTTGTTTAGCTTGGAGAAGAGAAGGCTCTGGGGAGACCTCATTGTGGCCTTGCAGTACTTGAAGGGGGCGTATAAACAGGAGGGGGAATGGCTGTGTGTGAGGGTGGACAGTGATAGGACAAGGGGGAATGGTTTTAAACTGAGACAGGGGAGGTTTAGGTTGGATGTTAGGAGGAAGTTTTTCACCCAGAGGGTGGTGAGGCACTGGAACAGGTTGCCCAAGGAGGCTGTGGATGCCCCATCCCTGCAGGCATCCAAGGCCAGGCTGGATGTGGCTCTGGGCAGCCTGGGCTGCTGGTTGGTGACCTGCACACAGCAGGGGGTTTAGAACCAGATGATCACTGTGGTCCTTTCCAACTCAGGCTGTTCTATGATTCTGTGATTTGCAAAAATCAGCCTATTGGTGTTGCTGTGGCTTAAGCCTCCGACCCCTTCAGTCATTCATTGCTTGTCTGGTGGTCAGCCATATGGTAATGTTCCAAGCATGAACCAGCAAGAGGATGCAGCATGGAGTGACCCAGGGGTTTCCCCTCTGAAATCCTATCTTCCCCAGCATCCTCCTTCCTCCCATCCAGCTGTTGTGTCCTCAGTCTTTTCCACTGCTCCTCTGACTAAAGGAGTAAAGGCACAGAGCACCCCAACCCAGTGCACCCACTTCATCTTTCAGATGACCCAGGTGTTTCTGAGCTCCTAACAGATTCTCCCACATTTACACAGACTTTTCTTCATCCTAACCCATAATAAATACAGTGTGCTCCCCAATTCTCCCTAGCCCTTGTGTGAAGTGCTACTGGGGAGCTACTGGGTGTGACATACCTGAGACTTCTCTCTGAAATTCTTCCAGCCATTCTTGTTGGCCTGCCCTGTGTGTCAACAGGTTTCCTTTTACTTTCAGGAATACAGAAGCTAGTATTAGCAGGCCGAGTTGGAGAGGCTATAGAAGCCACCCAGCAGCTCTATCCTGGCCTCCTAGAACATAACCCCAACCTGCTCTTCATGTTAAAGTAAGTATGAATAGCTTTCTGCTCCCTAATGAAGCTGAAGGAGATAAGGGGCTGCCAGGGAGGCAGCACACCTTGGTCTGAATCCTGCCTGAGGTCCCATTGGTCGCCAGCATTTCTAAGTTATGGAGTAGAGGGGGGATCTCTCACTGGCAGTTTTAGTACCTGCCCTGAAAAACCCATCTAGTTTTGTAGTACCTGCAGAGGTGGTAGAGATGAAAGCATGTTAACAGCACAAAGGAAATAAACTTGCTTTTGGGGACCAAGAAAACTCCATCTTACCATGTGTCCTCACAGCAGGCTTAGCATCACAGTAATTCTCTTGGGTCCAGAGCAGCGCAGACTTGGGAACATTTGGTTAACTGGAGGAGTGTTTCTAAGCCCGTGAGAAATGTGCTGTGTTTTGAATTTGTGCAGTGTTTCACCTCTGATCTTGTGGCCCCATTGATGCTGAAATGCTTTTTCTCATCTTCTCTCTGCTTTCACTGGTGTTAGCCAAGGTGGAACATCGTGTTGATAATACTGGTGCTCCCCCAGGCGTGGGGCTGAAAAGAAGGGTGACTGCTGTTATAGTGCACGTCTGTCTCAGTATGGTTCTCAGCATTCATTAGCATCCATGTGGCACTATATGAACTCTCTCCTGCTGTAGCATCATCAGAGCACTCACAGTGCAAATATACCAGGAGTCTAAAACGGCTCTTTGGAAGCCAAAGAAATAACTCCCATCCAATTCCTAAGACTTCTGCAGGCAGTAACTGAGGAAACATCAGTGCAGAACATGCTGGCTGTCACGCACCCTTTTCTTCTTCCTTCCCATGAAATCAGGTGTCGGCAGTTTGTGGAGATGGTGAATGGGACAGACAGTGAAGTCCGTTGTTTCAGTGCACACAGCCCCAGATCCCAGGACAGTTACCCTGGGTCCCCCAGCTTAAGTCCCAGACACGGATCCAGCAACTCACATGTTCATAGTACTGGTAAGTGCTTTTTTTTTTCTTTTTTTTCCTGTCTTCCAGTGAAAAGAGCAGAAATTAAAGGTAGACTGCTGCACTGTGCATCACCTGCTACTTTCCGTGCAGTTTACTATGAAGTGCTCCTTTGCCTTATGTTACTTGCTTTCCATTAGGGCCCCTCCAGTCTGCAGAATTCAGTCCAGAGCCCCAGCGAAGTTGCACTGCTGGCCAGTTTAGCACAAAGTTAGGGGGATGCATTGCATGTGTGCTGCTTCTCCCATGGACTTACCTTGCAGTGAAACTTTAGGATTTTAAGTAGAATGAACAAGGTAAACCAGGACATCTCAAGATACTTGTGTAGGTAATTTCTGACTGTGGCGTTGAAGGTCAGTGCACAGCCCCTGAGAACAGCTTGAGCTGTTTCACTGAGCCTTGAGCTGCTCACAGCTGAAAGTGTGTTTTGTTTTGGTGAATCCTGTGCACGTGGGAGCTGGTTCTGCCAATATCTTATTTACAGCCCATTTCTGGCACTTCCTTAAGCTTGCTTGTTGATGGTGAACAGTGCAGTTCTTTCCACATTGATTTGTGCTTTCTCTAAACCCCACGAGTTTAATATTGCTGGATAATTAAGATCTTTGGTCTTTTGCTTTCTTCTTTTGGGGCCTACTTGACAAACTGTTGATTTCAGAGTAGAGTGTCAGCGTCAGTCTGGTCTCATTTTTCCCATCCTTCTTAACCTTCAGGAGCAGATAGCCCTACCTGTAGCAATGGAGTCATGTCCACAAAAAGCAAACAGAGCCACAGTAAATACCCAACACTGAGTTCATCTTCGTCATCTTCCTCCTCCTCCTCCCCCTCATCTGTGAACTACTCAGAGTCCAATTCTACAGATTCTACCAAATCTCAGCAGCACAGTAGTACGAGTAACCAAGAAACCAGGTATAGTTTTTTTCCTTGTAGGTCCCTGAGGAGGGTGAGGTGGTGGGAGAGGGTGAGGTGTTCTCTCTGAAGAGCATCTGTTCTGCTCTTTTTAAACAACAGAGTAACTCTTCCTATCTACAAGGTCTGCTCTGTTCCCAGCAGAGATAGACCTGTTCCAGTTCCCTGTTCTGGCTCAGGCTTGCAGGTTCATTTCGTAACAGAAACCCATTTCATCAGTTGTCTTCAGAAGGCAGCAATGATTTTTACTGCACTGAATTAAACCATCTCGCTTCCTGTAGTTTAACTGGCACCTCTTTGTGGTTTACTGGCCATTACTGGGCATCATTTATCATGTGAGCTTTTCATTTCTTCCCTGAGGTAAACATCTGATTTTTCTTTTAACCGCAGCGACAGCGAGATGGAAATGGAGGCTGAGCACTACCCCAATGGAGTCCTGGAAAATTCATCCACCAGGATAATGAATGGCACCTACAAACACGAAGAGATCCTGCAGACAGATGAATCCAGCATGGGTAGGGCCTCAAGCAGGAGAGGCAATGGGAGATAGAAAGAGCAGGGATCAAGAGTTGAAGTAGTGGTTGGACCGTTTGGGTTTCTTTCCCAGTCCTGGTGAATGAAGTTCTCGAGATACCAGTTTCACCAGGGAAATAAATCTGTCTCAGAATTGAGACTAGGTTTGACTTTTCATAGTTGTGCAGTAGTGCTGGTGATACTGTGGGCCAGGGAAGGCAATAGGAGTCAAAGGTTTGTTCAGCACTGGCTGTGAATTCCAGCACAGAGCAGCCCAGGCACTTCTAACACCTGAAGAAATGAACTGAGCTGAAAGACTGACTGATTCCCAGCTACAAAGGGGCTTTGGCTCGGTGTGGTCAGCTAGGACTGTCTTGCTTGTGGGTGCTTCAGCCTGGAGGGAGATATGAATCAGCTACATTACCTCCGAAACCTGGAATTCCTCCAATTACTGGTGTCTTATATTTACCAAATATTGGAAAGTTGGTGGTGTTTTGGTATCTCTGACTGAGACCAGAGTTTGTTAGACCAGGTTTTCTGTGGTGTGTGGAGTACCTTACACACATGAAAGGGTAACGCAGCCGGAGTCGCAGGTTCCCGTGGTTTTACCAGAGGACTTGATGTGTCGGTGTCCACAAGCATTAAACAGAGTTCAGGGCTGCCCTATGAAAAATCCACAGCCCCCTGTTGTGGTGCAGGACTCAGAAAAAGCCTCTGCTTGGATAAACAGCATGTAACTGCTCCTGAAGGGGAAGGAAGGAGTTATGGCTAAGGAAGGGCAGCATGCCTCACAGTGAGCAGTGGTGGGGAATGAGACAATTCTTTCTTCTCCCCTGCCTTTCTTCTAGAAGACAGCTGTCCCCAGAGGCAGCTCTGCGGAGGGAACCACGCAGCCACCGAGCGAATGATCCAGTTTGGACGGGAGCTGCAGATGCTGAGTGAACAGCTGTGCAGAGAATATGGGAAGAATACAGTGCACAAAAAGATGCTTCAGGTAAGCCTGGGCTTTATGCTGCCTCACAGCAGTTCTCTGGGCCAGGACTGGTATTGTGGGTTTCCTTGTAGAGCTCTGGGTGTTCCCCATTTCTGCAGCAGGTGAGGATGAGGGGGCCTACATGGGGGTTGGAGGATGAAAGTCAGTGAACCCAGAGTGTCTAGACCCAGTTATCAGTACAGGAGAGAAGAAATAAAGCTCCTGCTGCCTTCCAGGGGTAACTGCATGGTCTTCTTCCCTCCCGGTAGCACTCTGCCTGCCTTCTTGTGCAGAGGGGAGAGAGCACTCTCTTTAATCTACTGTCTTGATGGCCCAGTGCAGTCCCTTGCTGCCAAGAAGAAGCAGGAGCTGTCACATTGGTGATGGCAGGAGCTGCCCCAGCAGACAGATTTGGCACTTTTCCTGTGTGTTCACAGCCGTGCATGACCTTACTGTACCTTTCTGTTCTCTCACACAGGATGCATTTAGCTTGTTAGCTTACTCAGACCCTTGGAACTGCCCTGTCGGTCAACAGCTGGACCCAATCCAGAGGGAACCTGTGTGTGCTGCTCTTAATAGTGCTATTTTGGGTAAGACCTGGTTCTTACATGAGCGCTACCTGCTGGACATACCACTACTCACAGGTGCTGTCCTGTAGCAGGCAAGCCTGTGAGAGTTAGGAGAAATTAGGAAGTACTTGTCTTTAGCTTTTGCCTGTCTTTGTAATGCAGGGGACTGGAAGGGCAGGGCTGTAGGGAGGTGGGAATAAAGCTGCAGAGGATGGGTGCTTCCAACCTGGTCTTGTTTTGGCTCCCTTCTTTGGGTCTTCCTCAGTGCTGCTTCCAAGAAATCTCCGTAGGAGAATTTAGCTTACCAAGGAGCCAAGATCTTTTGGATGCATTTTCCTGCCCCTCTTCTTTCTTGTTCTGAACACACCTTAATCAGTTTGCTTGGCACTAGCAAGGCTGTTTTCCATGCTGTTTGGGTTGGCAGAGTTTTGACTGGCACAATCCTGCTTTCTGGGGGGGAATGCAGTTGCTCTTTTGCAGCAGCTCACAAATGCAGCAGGTTCCCACAGTGTTAGCTCTAAATTAGAGGGGACCATAAATCCCTCTGACCTTTGAGGCCATGCTGAATGCAGGCAGGCTCTGTATTCCCTTTGAACATATGTATCTGCATGTTCCCATGGTGTGGGTTGCTTGGTGGAGCTCAGATACCTGGCTGCCTAGGGCCTGTGGTTGGACTCAGGGCTGGGTTACTGGTGAAGACCCACTTGGTGCAGAGGTCTGGGTATATGTTGGTTATCTTCAGCTAGAAAGCCAGCTCCTTTTCTTCTGATGAGCTTTGCTCTTTGTATCAGCACATACCTGTGGATCTAGGTATAAGCAGTCTCTGTATCCTCCAAGCTGAGTGTTCATGGCTGCTCTTCCAGACACAAGCAATCTTCTTAGACAGGCATGTTCTTTGGCCCAACAGCTTGTCCTTTATTCTCCTATCTTGAACCTGGTGTAGGAAATGTGATAGCTTGCCCTGATGGAAGTCTTGCACTTGCAGTCAGTGAGCTGCCTTTCCATTGCTGACCGTTCTGCCATCTCTGGCTACAGAAGAACCCATGGTGGAGTAGAGTGAAGTGATACTGGGGTTATAACCTGCCACCAATCTGCAAGAAAGGAGAATTGAGTGTGCCAGAAGGAGATTTAGGAATTATCTTCTTGGGAAAGGAACTGCTTGATGGGCAAACCCGTGAGAGTTCCTGTTCTGTCTGAGTAAAGGAACAGACACATTAGGATTTGGGAAAGAGGGTCCCTTTCCTTGACAGCCGGCATGGCCAGGGCTGCATCGGGGGGCTCAGTTCCAGCCACTGTTTGACCAGTGCTTGGAGAGCCCAGATAAGGCTCTTATGGATGTCTGTCTCCAGAGAGAAATGAAAAGCAGTGTCTGGACATCCTCCGATGCACATCTTAACTACAGCAGCTGAGGATTCCCTCTTGCAAACCTAGCAAAAATGACATGGAAAAAAGTGGTGATCAGTGAGTTTGTCTAGATCGTGGACTAGATTAACAGAAGGGGAGAGGGAGAGCAGCTGCCTCTCCCTTAGAGCTAATTTCTCCCACCTTTCCTTACGCTTCCATGCTCTGATCTCTCACACTTTGAGGGTTTTCTGGCAGACACAGAGGCGACACTGCCATTTTCTTGCCATGGACAACTTTGAGAAAGCTGCACTTTCTAAAAGGCCCCGTTGACTCGTGTCCCTGTGGGTGGGCAGGTCTGGGTGGGGTATGCTCAGGAGTTCCTTCCTTCTAGAGCCAGGGATGCTCGGCCTGGTGCCCAGGAGGGGCCTGCAGGTGAGCCAGCATGTGGCCAAGGCGCCTCTTCTAAACAGATTTCTCTTTTTGCCCCCGCAGAATCTCAGAACCTGCCAAAGCAGCCCCCGCTGATGCTTGCCCTGGGCCAGGCCTCGGAGTGTTTGCGACTCATGGCTCGTGTGGGCTTGGGCTCCTGTTCCTTTGCCAGAGTAGACGACTATTTGCACTAGCCACCAGAGCAGGATGGAGCTGACATCGTCGAGTGCTGCCCTTCACCCTCCGTTGCTGCCACTACAACGCCACCTCGTCTGTAGCCTGAGCTCCCACCAACACCCCCTCTAGCACACACACACTGCCTGTGACAGGATCTGTTCCCTCACCACGTGGCCATTCCTGACCCAGGAGTGACTGGCAGACCTGACCTGTCTCCCCGCCACCGCTGCGGCTCCGGCGGCACTCAGTATTTCGCTGGTTATTCTAATGTAGCGCCTTCCAATGTAGGGATTTCTCTTTGTTTTGATTTGAGTTGTTTCTCATGGATCCACCAGTATTTTATCTGGAGAGTTTTGCTGAGCTGGTTTCTGCTGATTCACGGAGGAAGCTCGTGAAGTTGGTGACGCCTTGTTCTCTTCTTCCCTCCCTCCTCCATCCGTGCACACGCAACATCATCTTCTGTGCTAGCTACCTGAACTCTTCTCGCAGTGGCAGTTCAGAGGGGTTATTATTATTATTTTTTTTAATTTTATTTGAATCCTGTTTATTAAAAAGGTCTCTTCCACCTCCACAAAGTCACTGATGTATTTATTGCCCAGAGGCTTGGGCCCAGCCCCGCGCTTCCTACATCCCCGCAGTGAGGTGCATCCTGTCCTATGCTAACCATGGGAATTGGATTTGGAGGAACTCGGTCTTTCCTGTCTCTGTGATTAGGAAAAACAGAAGATTTGGCATTGCCTTTGTCAGTGGCCACACGGTAGAAACATCTCAGCCTCTGAGAAATGGGTAAATCTGGCAGCTAGAGGGATAGGGCTAACCAATGTGAAGTCACCTGCTATACTGATGGAAGCAGATGATGGTAAGGAAGAGCTGTGGATGCTGCCAAGTTGGGCTGTTGGTTTTTGTGCTGCATCACAAAACCCCTGTTTTTATCCATAGAGAAGTGCTCTGCTGCTAAGACTATACAATAGTATTTACTGAATGATCACTGCTACATTCTGTTGTTTTGAGGTTACTGATTTGAAGTGTGCTCGTCCTTGCAGGGTGCAAATGCTCAGATCAGGCTGCAGGTTAGGACCAGTGCTATCTTTTTACCCATTTAGAAAGGAATGGCAGTGTTTCTTTGAGGAATAAGAATGCAATTTTAGTTCCAGGTCCAAAAGTGACCAGCAGGGATCTGTGGGTGAGTAACCTCCAGGTAAGATGGGCATGGTAATGTGTCACTGCTGCGGTCCAGGGACTTTGAGTGCTGCTAAGGCTTTGGTATTCAAACCATCTGCCAGCAAGTGTTTCTAAAAGTGTATTTTGTACTGGTGTGCCATGTGAGGAAGAAAGTCGGTGTCAGAACTCTGCCACTGAGCTGAGAGCTCTGAGAGTTGACTGCATGTACAGATGTGATTTGGAGTCATCCCCATCCCTGGAGGTGCCCAAGGCCATGGGAGGGCTCTGAGCAGCCTCTGGGGCACCCAGCCTAGCGCAGGGGTTGGGGCTGGATAGGCTTTAAGATCCCTTTCAACCCAACCATGCTGTGATTTGCTGCTGGAGCATGAAGTTTGCAATAAAGGCAGAGCAGGGGACCTGGTGGCTTTCCCATTTGGATGATTCCTGTGCTGTTGGCTGTCATTTAGCTCATTGCGGTCTCCAGCAGTCAGACTTCTCTTCCATCTGTGCAGCAGCACCGTCTTTGTCTCCTTCTGAGTTTTCTGTTCCTTCTTTTTGGGTTTTTGGTTCCTTTTAGTCAAACCTCTGTCATGGCTCACTCTTGGTCTCCCAGTGAAGCTGTGCTGAGTGTCCCTGGTGGTGGTAGGGCTGGATCACCTCCTGCCATCAATGCTGTGCATCGTGCAGCCTATAGAACCGTGGTTCTATGTGTAAAAGCCTCCTGGGCATTGAGTTCTTGTGGTTGCTCCTTCATGGTTTGCATTTTGGAACCTTGTTATGATATCAGTGAGAGTTGATTTTTGGGTTGTTGCAGTCATTTAAAAAAAAAAGTAAGTAGAATGAAGGTCTTCAATTTTGAGTATGGCTACAACATAAGTAGAGCCTTCATAGAAGCTCAGAAATGATTTTTAAAAGTGATTTGGGCTTTCTCATTTCAAGTGCCTCATGCTTTGCTGAGAAACAGATGAATGAGGGAGGGAGGCCTTAAGAAAGGCTGAGACTCAGCTTTGTCTGGGCAGCCCCTCAGAGTCACTTCTCCATCGGTAGAGCCATAGGGGTGACTGTGTACCACCAGCAGGACCTGCTGGCATCTCTTCTCCTGGGGACGGTGACCAGGACTCAGCCCTGCCCCCATATGGTTATACTGGACACAGGACCTCCATCCCATGAGGCTGGCTGGCGTGGAGCTTGTTCTGCTCACAGCTCAGGATAAGTGGACATGGTGAAAATCTCCTGTGCTGCATCCCTGAGTACATGATGAGCTTTGGTTTGAGACCAGCGAAGCAGTTGTTTTTCTGAGAACTTCTGAGAAATGGGGACCTGCAGGCTCTGGTGAGCACTCAGCTGCACTGACCTGAGCTGAGCTCCAGGGGATGGAGGTGTGACCGATGGAGATGGTGACCAACACAAGAATGGCCCCTTCCACAAGCACTGCTTCTTGTGGTTGTGCACACCCAGATTATCCCTATCTGCCCAGTTCCCTTCTGGTTTTGTTGCTTTATCATATTTTGATTATTTCTTTCTCACTGTTTCTGCCTGTCTTCCAGCTGTGCCCTGATCTGTCTCAAAGTCTCATTAAGGCATCATTACCATTTCTTGAGCTTTGTTCCCAAGACTCCCTCGAACAACTGCCAACAACCAGAGCTGATTTAATCAGCCCTGGGAGGGGGGGGGGTCCAATTTCCCATTTCTCCCCATGGGCATGAGGCACAGGGAACAGTCAAAGCACGCCTTGTTGGGTTGCTGTGGTGCTGCTGTGCTTTGTTACCAGTCTTGACACTCAGGTAACACCACATTGCAGAGGCTGACAGAGGGTGTGTTGGTGAGGCACTGGGGGTCATGGCCCCACCTGCTCCCCATTGCCCTTCCTTGGATTTGAAGAACAGGAGCTCCTTTACCTCCAGGAGGAAGGGAGGCTTCACCTCCTGCACACAAAGCAGTGGGATTTGCACTCACAGAAACATTCCTGGAGTCCATGCAAACCTCTCTTTGCATGCCGAGTCCCCCTATGGGCATCGTGGGACTGCTGTGACACACAGACCCCTCTGTGCTGGTCTTTGGTCGTTTCCTTTCCCTGTGAGCACCAACGTGGAGAAAAGGAGAAGCCAGGGCAGATTTGAGGAGAACAAGGATGAGCAAGAAAACGTTCAGCACAAAAGTGTGGTCACTCTTTCAAAGGACATCACATAGGTGAACGCTTCCATTAGGATGCTCCCACGCCGTGGCTCTCCAGCCAGGACCCAGCAGTGCCAGGCACGGAGTTGCCTGCAGCACAGTGAACTCAAAACTCAGGTATGAACTGCTCGGCTGGAGCTGGGGAACGAGGGCTGCAGGGGGGCTGCAGCAAAGCAGATCACCACGCTTGTCAGCGCCGTTGGAGGGTTTCCTCCTCTCTGGCACAACGTCGGCTACGTGGACGTTCCACACATTGTGCACGTTGGTTCAGTCTAAGCGTAGTAGTTGTGAATTAAGTTATCTGATGCTTCGCATGAAAACTTCAAACAAAGAAAAAAACAACCAACAACAAAAAAGGGGGGGGGGGGGGGATTTTAACTGAGAAAAGCCTATGAGAATATACTGGAAATGTGGCAAAGAAATCAACATTCTGCTGTATATTGACAGAATTATTTTTATTAAAATACACATCCATGTGCAAGTGCTTGTGTGGAGCCGAGTGCTTTGTGGGGCTGCAGAAAAATGGGCCCAGCTCACAGGGAGCTCCGTGCCTGCAGGAGCTGCTGGTGGGGCCTGGGGTTACAGAAACTGACACAACAGCCCGAGGTAGAGGCACCAACTCTGAATGCTGGCACAGATGGAGGGGGGAATGGTGCCAGATCCTGCAACCACATCACAGAACCACAGAATGGGCCAGGTTGGAAGGGACCTCAGGATCACGAAGCTCCAAAGCCCCTGCTGCAGGCAGGGCTGCCAACATCCATCTCTAATGCTACGCCAGGCTGCCCAGGGCCCCATCCAACCTGGCCTTGAACACCTCCAGGGATGGACGGGGCATCACAGCCTCTCTGGGCAGCTGTTCCAGCACCTCACCACTCTCACAGTACACAACTTCCCCCTGACATCCAACCTCAATCTCCCCTCCCTCAACTTCAAACCATTTCCCCTTGTCCTGCAGTTACCTACCCTTTTAAATAGTTGATTCCCCTCCTGTTTATAGACTCCCTTTAAGGCTGCAGTGAGGTCACCCCCCCCTGTTTTCATATCACAGGGTGTGCTGCAGCTCCCAGGTGGTTCGGGGGCCATAACAGCAGGGGAGCTGAGTCTGGATCTGATCCCAGGTCAGGAGGGGCAGGGACTGAAGGCAGCACCCAGCTTCTACACCAAGATCTACACCCAGGGGTGGATGGGGGACCCATGTGAGGTGGCAGTGAGAGGGAGGGTGGGATGGGATAAGGAAGGGCAGGGCTTCTCAGAGAAGCAGAGAACAAGAAGAGAACAAGAGTTCCTTGAACTTATGTCTGTATGGCTTCCCTGGAAGAAGAAAGGAGAAGAAAAATCAAATGTGCTGATGACACTGTTATGGAAGAGGTGGGCAGCAGCCCATCAGACTGGCGGCCCAGCACAGAGCTGGCCACGGCACTACCCAGAACCATCAAAGTTATCAGCTCCCAGCACAGCTTTAAGGTCATTTCTAGCTCTTCCTCACCTTTCCACAAATTCCAATGCCACTTTTCTTATGGAAAAGGATTCCGCAGGCAGTTTTGCTCCCAGGTAACAGCAATAGAATGAGAGGTGGCAGCCTCATGAGGTGCCAGGGGAGGTTTAGGTTGGGTACGAGAAACAATTTCATCTCAGAATTAGCGTGTGTGGCCGCCCAGTGACAGCATCTTTGCAAACACACCTCATGAGCTCCCCTGCAGCTCCCTCCTCTGCATCTGCAAAGCAGGGCTGTGCACAGCCCTATCTCTGCAAAACCACTGCTGTGACTCGGATTCGAACCGAGGTTGCTGCGGCCACAACGCAGAGTACTGACCACTATACGATCACAGCTGCACATGGGAGGCAGTGCACAGGATTGAGCAGAGGGAGGAGAGAGCCCATGGGCTGGCTCTAGGGCAAGAGCATTGCAGAATACTGCAGCTACTTCCATTGAATCTGACATCGATCTGTTAGAATCACAAAAGCAGAAACAAATATTTCACCAGTTTTCTGTTTTTGTTGTTATTAATTTTCAAACAAAGCAAGTCCTGCTACAGATAAATACCAACTCTATAATACATTCTGTATCTGTCCCAAGGCAATTCCTGTTCATTCAGTGCATCCCAAGCGGATCAAAAGGTTGGACTTTATTCCTTATTGGGGTTGTAGGAGCCATCTGCTTGGACTCCATGCTTTTGTCCCTCCCAGAATCGCTCCGGGATCTCCTCATCCTTGCAGATGCAGATGGTCCCTCTGC